ATATCTGTATAAAAAGGGATGCTAGTTAGCAGTAAAATCCCATGCCTACTGCCTCAGACCACCTCTTACTTTGTGGTGATACTGTGTGCCCTGCTTTGTTCTTCATGCAGACCTGTAATTTCTTCTCCTCTCATCATTTCCTAAATGCCGGCATGTAAAAGATCTCCAAATTGGTGTTTATATTACTAGCACTTTTTCCTCTGGAATTTTCACGCTCTAGTAAGGAGCATACATTGGCTTACAGCTTGAAATGAGATGAGAAAACTGTTAATAAGGTCGTTTAAAAAGGGCATCAATCCCTTCCCCTTCTGAAGTTCATCTGGAATCAAACAACCTGTGAAACTACAATCACTCAGTTGAACTTCGGTCTAAAATGCGAAACATAAGAGGAATGACATTTTAGGGCTGAAAGGAGGATGAGTGGTGGAGAGGCATGCTGTGACACAGCCAGGCACAAGGAGGGTGACAATGGAAAGGATGGCTAAAATGCAGCAGGCACATTCACCATGATGAAAGGTGTCTCTGATGAGGCCCGAGAGGGGGCACGGGGACAGAGCACTCACCACAGCCTGCTCTGCTTGTTCAGCAGGCTCACCAGGGACAGCCTCCTTTTCCATAACAGCAGCAGGAGCAGGGCTTTCATCAGCCTTAAGTTCCCCAGGTGGAGCTTCTTCAGCCTCAGCCTTTGGTTATCGATTTTTAAGTAGATAGTGGAAAAATTGTTGAGGACCAGATGATACTGGGAACGGAGGAGGGGAAAGGGAACTGTGCCTGGCACAGTGCTACTTCAGGCTCAATCTTGCTGAGCTTTGCCCCTGGCAAAGGGCAGCATCGAAAGGACATTTTCATCCTTAATGTTCTATATGTAAAATGTGCCAGTTTTACATCTCTCCTTCTCAAGTAAAGCAAGCATAGCTTTCTGAGCTAGAGTTAAAGGTGATGGAGGGGGAGGAAGGCACCCACAGTTTGCTCCAAAATGCTCCAGGAACTGACAGCAAGGCCAGAAGTTGAAAGTGGCACCCATGTGTACCAACTCTGGCCTTCAAATATGAGTTCTCAAAACTGTCTCCTACTCCTTAGTTTGGTCTGCTCTTGGAAAATACTGTCCCTCCTCCAGGGAAGGTAAGAAGCAATTAGCAGACATTCAGACAGCTTTTATATGCGCCAGGGCAAACACTGACTGACTAAATTCTAGCAGTGTGAAAATCATCCCTAGTTTCTTATTAAAATGCATTTTCTCTTGAGCTCTCAATCACCTAGAAGGCATCCATTTATCAACCCACTGTTGGGATTTCCACCCTTTTAAATTCTGGCCTCAGCTTGTTTTTGAACAAGAGGATCTATCAAATATAACCAGCCCTGAAACAAGTTCAGTTTTGTGGCAAAATAGCTCAGAGCAGAAGTGCAATCTCCAATGGAAACATCACCTAGCGAAACATCACACGCACATACAAGGGGAGAGTTCCAAGCAGTGCTCAGCACATTCCATTTATAAAGATGGCTGACTCAATCAGATAAAATAACCCCAAAAGATTAATCTGCCATGAACAAATTGCTCAGCATAATATGGAGCTCAAAAGCAATTGCTCTGCAGTTGATAAGAGGCAGCTGGCTAGAATGTGATGTCTCCTGTGAGACATGAAGGGAAAGCTTCCATGAAATTCTTTAAAATACTAAAATCTCCTGATATTTTTCAGGAAAAAAACCCCCAAAACCTCTCAATTCCTTACTCACATACACCTTAAGCAGACTAATTTTTAATGAGGTACAGAAAAGTTTGCCTATGCAAGGCTTTCAGAATATGGCATAGCATAAAGAAGCGTTCACCATATTGTACCAAGCTGTGCAAAAATCTCTCTGTGCAGTGTATTAATGACAGCTCTAGAAAATTCCACAAAGAAGAAATAGAACTGAAATGAGAAACACAAAGCAGATTTATCCCAGGTAAGGCGACTAATGAGTTTCCTGAGATTTTTATGCTGGAAGATTCTTCCAGGCCTAAAGTCACAGACAACATGTTATGAAGCAGATTGCACTGATGTGCTTCAAGTCATTTGTTGACAAGCAGAGCTATCACATTTCAGCTACAAGTAAAAATACTCTCACCATATTTAGTAACCATCACGAACACAAACACCTCCAGAGGCATTATACAAAAGCCACATTAAATAATACTGAGTATCAGTCTGCTGCTATTAAGTAACTGTAGTACTCACCAGGCAACGCTGCTATTCACATCCTTACTTCAGGCTAACCAAAGATTGTAAGAGGAGCTAAGAAACTGCCCAGGTGTGATGACTTTCAAAAAGATTGTCTGTTCCTTAGAAGTAGATTACTCCTACTAGTAATATGTGGAGAGTGGGTAAAACTACAGCAATACTGTAGATATTTACTGTGATAGTTATCACATACTATCACCTGCTTGCTCTACACTGGACCATAGTACTTATGGTCTAATTTCTTACTAATTTCTTAAATGCAATAAATGAACAAACTGTTTGATTACATCTTTTTAAAGTAAACATATCTTAAAATATTCTGGTTTTCTTTTCTTTTGCTCTGTGCTATCCTTGTAAAAGACTGGTTTAGTGAGTATGGATTTACAAACTACAATCATATCACCCACCAGCTCTGCCAGGTAGAAGAGCTGTATAAGCTTTTGTGATTTAAAGGATGGAAAGCACACAAAAAAGAGAAAATCTCTTTGCCCAAAGGAAGAATAAAAAATGCCCTTTTTTACCAGGCATTTAAAAAGTAACCAAAACCCATCACTTACCAAAGGCTCTGTCACATTCTCACTTGCTTGTGCTGTAAATACAGAGATATCCTAGATACAGAAATGAAAAATAAATGCAAAAAGTATTTCAGACAGAATATTTGCAGATGTCCACCAAAGTACATTCACACAGAATAAGATGACAAATACAAACTAATTAATAATTATTTTTAATACTTAGACTATCTAAGTACTCTTATTATTAAAGACATTCCCTTTTCAATTATTTTCTATCCTTCTAAACCAAGAAGTTCTTCACCTCACTGGAGGCAGTGAAAACCCCTTCATTAAAATAGTGATTTGCAAGGACTTTGTTTCAGGTACGATGCTCTTCCAAGTTGTGAAACTTTTTGCAGACAATACATGGCTGTGCTTGGAGATGACACTAGCTCTAAGCTACTTTCACGTGTTCTTGATCCTGGGCTTTTATTTGAATTATAACTATAGTAATTACAGATAGGAAATTTTACCTGCATTAAGAAGTAGAAATATGGAGGTGTTTTCCAACACCTCGCTCATTCAGAACCCATTAATTTGCAAAATACTGCCTGGGCCAAATTATTTTCCTACTGCAGTGGGGGCAGCAGATATTTATTTCCTCCAGACCAACATTTTGCCTTAATTAACAGAGGTTGTGCTTTGTGCTTTTCCCCTTCCTTCCAGCTCCTTTACTAAACTAAATGTCCTGGAGCAGACTGGTTAATCACTGGAAGACTCATTTCTGTCCTTGTATAAGCTGAGTCTTTCTGGGTGCTTTTAAAATATGGTACACAGCGTGTGCTGTGAATGAGCCAGTCTCTAAAAGGATGATGGAAAATAATGAGGACCAAAGTAATCCACCTGAAATTTGGGATCTTGACACAGCCCTGAAATTTGAAAGCATAAACATGGTGTCTTCCTGTGCTGTATCTCTGTGATGGGTAACACAGTCTCACTATCAGCACAGCAGCAAACATTTAACTTTGAGAGTAAAATGTATCCTAAATGAAAGCAAAGATGGAGGGAAAACCCCCTCATTTTATATGTACATAAAGAGTGACTGAAACTATGTGAAACTGTGGAAACCATTCTTTACAGGATTTGGGGATTGTGGGAAAAATTCAAAAAAGAGCACAATAAAAAAAGTTAAATCAGTCCTTTTAGGAGGAAAAAAATCCATCCCACTAAGGTAGTCAGATTTTTTGCTATTAAATTCAGTGAGGCCAAGAGTTCTAAGAGTACTAGAATCATTCTAGTAACACATCTAAGTAGAATTTCTGAGAACAGACAAGGTCTGGATTTGAGACAGTATGCTGAATGGAGTTCCTGAAATTGTATAGCCAGTTCTAATCCCCTCCCAATAGCACAGAAAAAAAAAATTACCTTAAAACCTGTTTATTTCTTACCTGTGCAAATCCATTAAATGCTGTGGTGGATGCCTAAGTAGAAGTGAAGATCAAAACAAATTATCATTTGTTTACTAGATCGGAACATAAGTTCAAAACATTTTTATTTGCAAAATAAAAATGTAGGCCAGACATAAAAAAAAAAAAAAAAAAAAAAAAAAAAAAAAAAAAAAAA